CTCTGTGAGTTCAAGGCCAGCCTGGTCTACATAGTGAGTTCCAGGACAGCTGGGGCTATAGGGAGACCCTGTCTCAAAAAGACCAATTAAAAAAACAAAAACAAAAACAAAACAACAACAACAACAACAAAACCCAAACAAAAGACAAACAAATGAACAAACAAACAAAAAAGAGCTTAAAACAGAGAGATGGGATAAAGGCTTTGAGAACGGAGAAAGTACGCCTCAAAAATTAGGGATGTCATAAACCTGTAATCCCCGAACTTGGGCTGTAGAGGCATGAGGATCAGAAATTCAAAGTCATCCTTGATGCAAAGTAAGTTTGAGGCCAGCTTGGGTTGTATGAGACCCTGTTTCAGGAGAAAAAAAAATTAAGGATGTATTTCCCAGAAAAAAGGAACACAAACATAATGCAAGTGGTCAGAAATGTCTATTTCCTTCCTCTTTTCGAATCTTGGTTCCTGAACCTCCAGTAAACCTCCTCAATGTTTTGCAGGTTACAGATTTCAGGAGCTTGGAGGTGACATGTGGCTCCTAACAGCTCTGCTCTTTTGGGGTAAGTTGGGCTCGGAGAGGGTGGCTAGGGGAGTACGATTTCTGGCCATTGAGAATGAAAACTTTTGGTCTTCCTTTGGCACAATTCTAAACACAGCTATATTCATGATCCAATAGCATATTGGTATTTATCATAACAAAGGATGGGAAGGAACCCTCAGGTAGTATTAAGCCTGGAAGCCTCATATCAGAATAAAGCCTCATTAGTAACTATCCGCTCTGCTGGTACTTGATTTGGGGAAAGAGGGACAGAGAGACTCTCAAGAGACTGAAGCTGGCTCATCAGTGCCCCTGGTTCTCCCTTCCTCATAATCTCCTACTTACCAACTGCTGTGTTCTCTGGTCTCTTGCAGCTCCAGTTGGCGGCCAAGTGGGTGAGTGACTTCTAACCCAACCTCTCTTGCCACTTTCCTACTTTCAAAAGATGGGTTCCATTATGCTGTGGGAAGGGCACAGGGAGAAGACAGGCAGGAGAAAGGCTTCTTAGCTACATGAAATCTCTATAATTAGAGTGGAGTTTTTATGACTGATTTTAATGTTTCTTTCCAAGGTTTCTGAACAAACCTTGCTGAACTAACTGCCTAGTGTGCAGAAAAAACAATAATAATCAGAAAATGAGCAGAGTTAACAGAAACACAGATGCAGCCCTGCTAGTTCTCCTAGTATTCCCCAGAAAACTGAATCTGTTTTTTTCTCTTCAGAATCAGGCAGGAAGTCTTCAAAGGGGTTGAGTCTCCATTTCCAAAGAAGCTGATGATGGTCTGTCTGTGCTTTACCCTCAGAGACAGTCTAGCCTAGAGGACAGGGTACTGGGCTCCAGGCAGTTTGTTCTAGTTTGAAATCCCACTTACAGGCAGATAAGTGGTTTCATCACCAAGTTTCAAAACCCTAACACCTGGGTTGAGATATAGTAACATAAACAAGCTCTAGATGCCAGGTCTGGCACTTAGGGCTGGCTTTCTGGGTTTCCACTTGTTAATTTTTCAAACTAACCTAAATATACGATTTTCTTTTGGGCTACCCGCAAAACTTTTCCAATCACTTATAGCCCTTCCTTTTAACTGCACTTTTTTTTTTGTCTTTTTCTTCCATCTAGTCAACATCACAAAGGCAGTAATCACTTTACAGCCTCCATGGGTCAGTGTTTTCCAAGAGGAAAATGTTACTTTATGGTGTGAGGGGCTCCATCTGCCTGGGGACAGTTCCACACAGTGGTTTATCAACAGCACAGTCGTTCAGACCTCAACTCCCAGATATAGCATCTCTGAGGCCAGTTTCAACGATAGTGGTGAATACAGGTGCCAGACAGGTCTCTCAGAGCCAAGTGACCCTGTACAGCTGGAAATCTCCAGTGGTAAGCATGGCGTGGGGCAAGAGGGCTGGAAATCCCAAGATCTTCCTTTGTGTGTGAATGCCAGGAGTCTCTCTCTCTCTCTCTCTCTCTCTCTCTCTCTCTCTCTCTCTCTCTCCCTCTCTCTCTCAACTTTGAGTAAAAATTTCAGCTCTAAAGGCCCACCAGGTAAAATTAAGTCAGCATCACAGCAAGGTCCTGTGTACCAAGAGCACTCGTTAACTGGCCTGTTTTGATTACAATGTCTTGAGAAAAATCTCAGACTCCAAGATTTTATTATTATCCAAAATTTATGCCAACACATCTCCATCTTCATCAACAACAGACATTTTCTGTATTTTTTATTTTTGTCATTCTGATAGCTGTGCAGTAGTATCACATTGTGGTTTTAATTTGTACTTCTCTGATGATTATGGTATTGACCAATTTTCATATGTTTAGTACTTATTTGCCTTGATAATGCCTTATAAAGTATTTGATCAGGTCTTTTGACTGACTGTTTAAAAATATTTTATTTATTATTTTTTATTCTATTTTATGTGTATGCATGTATTGCCTGCATGTAGGTAAGTGCACCTACGTAGTGCAATGCCTGTGGAGGACAGAGGAGGCTGTCGGAACTGGAGTTATGGACAGTTGTTAGCTGCCATGTGGGTGCTGGGATTCAAACCCAGATCTTCTGCAAGAACAGCCAGTGGAGGCACATGCCTTTAGTCCCAGAACTCGGGAGGCAGAGGCAGGTGGATCTCTATGAGTTCAAGGCCAGCCTGGTCTACATAGTGAGTTCAGGTCAGCTGGACTACAGGGAGACCCTGTCTCAAAAAAGACAAAAAGACAAAAAAAAAAAAAAAAAAAAAAAAAAAAAAAAAAAAGAACAGCCAGTGTTCTTAATCACTGAGCCATCTCTACAGCCCTGACCAATTTATTTCTCTTTAAAATATTTTATTCATACCAGGTATGGTGATATATACCTCTAATTCCAACACAGGCAGCAGAGGCAGGTGGATCTCTGTGAGATCAAGGCCAGCCTGGTCTACATAGTGAGTTCCAGGCCAGCTGGGGATAGAGGGAGACCCTGTCTCAAAAAAATCAAAAGAAACAAAAACAAACCCCCCAAATATTTATTTTTATTTGTGTGTGCGTGTGTGTGTGTATATGCCACATGTATGCAGGTACCTGAGGGGGCCAGAAAAGGGTGCTGGACCCCCTGAAGCTGGAGTTACAGGCAGTTGTGAGCCACCTGATGGCATTCTGGAAACTGAATTCAAGTTCTCTGGAAGAGCAGGAAGTATTCTTAACCACCATCTTTGCAGCCCCTTAGCCAGTATTTCTAGTGTCCCCCCCCATATTGGTTCATAGGAATTCTTTACATATTCTGGATATAGTTCTTTCTCAAGTGTTGCCAATATCTCTGTGGTTTGCCTTTACGTTGTGTCTTTTTTCTTTTTTTCAATGAACAAAAATCCCTGACTGTAGTATGTTACACCAGACTTTCTGGTTGCTGTTCTCTATACCCCATTTAGAAAGTGTTTGGCCACTGTGGTTATAGTGACGGTCAGTCTAAATCTGTGGATGCTAAGACCAAGAAAATTCAACTGGTTGGTGGGCCCCCATCCTAGTCATGTGGCTCACTCAAAGGCAGGAAGGTGAGGGAGTGATTTAAAAAATATATATATTATTTTTATTTTATGTGTATGAGTATATTGCATACATGTATGTAGGTTCACCCGTGTGTATAATGCCCACAGAGTTAAGCAGCAGCCATTGAATCCCCTGGAACAGGAATTATGGACAGTTGTTAGCTGCCATGTGGGCGCTGGGAATCGAGCCCCAGGCCTCTGCAAGAGCAGCCAGTGCTCTTAACCGATGAGCCATTTCTTCAGCTGGGATTCGAACCCAGGTCTTCTGCAAGAACAACCAATGTTCTTAACTGCTGAGCCATCTCTCCAGCCCCAGGAGTGATTTTTTGAAATGGAAATTCATAGGCTATGTCCGCTTAAAAGATGCATCCCAGTAGTTTTAATATAAAATGCTTTTATGGTCATTTAAGGCTAAAAACTAAAATTGCCGTTGTAATTTATTTTGTTATCATGAATTATTTAGAATGTTCTGGAAGGTGGCTTTTGTGAATGATTTCTAATTTATAGCATTTTGGTCATATCCTGTTCTAAATATGTTATCAATCCCTTGGTATTTGTTGAAAATGGCTTTGTGAGCCGGGTGTGGTGGCGCACGCCTGTAGTCCCAGCACTTGGGAGGCAGAGGCAGGTGGATCTCTGTGAGTTCAAGGCCAGCCTGGTCTACATAGTGAGTTCCAGGCAGCTGGGGCTACAGGGAAACCCTGTTTCAAAAAGACCGAAAAAAAGAAAAGAAAAGAAAAGAAAATGGCTTTGTGGCCTTAGTACAGATCATATCTTAGACCAGTGTCTAAACCATTGTACACATACTTGACTATGTGAATTTTCTGTTTCTAAGGTCAGTATTCCACTAAATCAAGTGTAGTTGTTGTTTCATTCAAGTATTTGTGGTTTTTGTTTTTTGATTTATTTTTATTTTATGTGTAAGAGTGTTTTGGCTGCATCACGTGTATGTAAACCCATGCAGGTCAAAGAGGATGTGGGGTTTCCTGGAACTGGAGTTATAGACAGTTGTTAGCTACCATGTGGGTGCTGGGAATTGAACCTGGATCCTCTGCAAGAGTAGCCAGTGCTTTTAACCACTGAGCCATTTCACCAGTTCTATTTGTGTGTTTTGACAGGTTCTAATGGAGGTATATTAGCATCCTCCACTGTGTCTTAGGTATAAAACAAAGATGTCTGTGTATTTGGACAGCACTGAGAGTTTTTTTTTTTTTTTTT